CAAACAATGAATCATGGAACACTACATCAAAAACTAATGATGTAATGTATGGTGATTAACATAACAATAAAAATTTAAAAAAAAAAGTACACCTTTGATCCTGTAAAACCTACATATCTTTGTTTTTTCGATAAATTTCCATGCCTAAACAAGAATATTAGTATGTCCTTCTTTGGTGAACCTGACTTTTCTTGTCACTAATCTGAATTATGAGCCCCAGGGATGATACAGATAAAACAGTATGTTATATCTTCAGCCCAGACCACTGTGTACAGTAACATGCCTTTTGGACATACTAAAAATACAGTAGCAACAATTCTTCCCCTATATTCCAAGACATAATTTTTTTTTTTTCCACCCACCCCCTGCAATTTTTCTTTAAAAAAGTCCCTTAACAAGCTAGAGAATATTTTAACTATCCATGGTGCTACTTTTCCAATTTATACCAACATTTAATCTTCTTTTTCTAATGTAGCACATTTTACACATGACCTTAGAATTTTCTAATACTCACAAATTTAATAATAATCACAATCTAGTTCTCACCAGGTTGTTGTGAGAATCAAATGAGATAATGCATATAAAAATTTTCTGATTTAATTTTGATTTGTAAGTTTTATAATTATAGAATTAAAGGACTTGAATTTTAAAAATTCTGCTATGCTATGCCACAACAGACAAAAAAATAAAATAAAAAATTCTTATTCATGCCCAGGTTATACAATTCTGCAAATTATAATGATATTGAGTAATATTTTAGTAGTTCTACTATTTGATAAATTATTTTTGTAACACTATTTATGAACTACAGAAACATACTCCCCAAAAGCATTTAAAGTATTTCAACATGTTTATTTTTAATATAACTTACTTTTTATTTTTACAAGCTAAGCATATACAACATAAAAAGTTATTTGAAAATGTTTGTTTATATGACAGAGACTACAAATTTTACTGGACTATGAAGTATAGTATAGTATGATCAACATGAAATCTTAATATGACATTCATTTAGCCAAAAACACTAATTTGAGAATCACGAATCAGCTCTCATTTCTAGGAGTGAAAGCATCACCTTAAAGCCAGGCATGGCCAACTATGATTTTTCTGCTAAGAATGGTTTTTGGATTTTATTAAAGTGGGAAAAGAAGGAAAAGGAGAACGTTGAAAAAGAAAGAAGCAGCTGCAGCAGTAGCAGCAGCAACAGATCATATTTGGTTTGCTAAAATATTTTATTATCTGGCCCTTTCTAGACAACAGTTTGCAACCCTTGCCTTATAGTAATCAACCAGGAATCACTTACCTGTCCAAGTATTTGTGAAAAGGAAGTCTTAACTGTCACCTAGTTTAAAATAATCATTAAAAAAAGGTTATTTTTCCTAAAGCCTTCTAGTTCACATTTTATTAACCTGAGCACTTCACATCTCTAAGCATAATCATTAATTTTTTAATAATGATCAACCTAAACACATTTATGGTCTTGTAAGAATCTTCTGAACCACAAATTTTAATTTGTATTAAGTGTAGTTTTATTGTTCAGCAAATTTTCCTGGATTCTAATTCTTTGACAACTGGATGAATGGTACATGTGATAACCCTTTACTAACTAGAATATTTGATTAACCAGAATATCTTAGTACCAGGTCGTGCAAGCTAAAGGAATTGACTGAATGACTGAATTCAGAAGCTACACATACGTTTGCTGAACAATTAAACACAAATTAACCTACGTATATAACCAGTATTTTAAAATCTCAAACCTACAACTGTATAGCACTAAGTATAGTTAAGCTAAGGCACTTCTGAGTAAATTTCATAAAAACAAGTTTCATAGAATAAAAGACCAGGAACAGAGCATATTTGGTAAAATTTAAGCCGAAACAGTATTTTAAAAAGAAATTCATCATTATCTCTATTATAAATACACTTTTTTGATATTAGGAAGTCTGGGAAAAGGAAATATGTATTTCATACGGAAATTATAAAATGATTATTCAAAATACTTACTTTTTAAAAATGTAAAGTACTTATAAAAACATGGACATTTGTGAGTGTGTGCAGTATTTGGAGCCAAAGTATTAATGCAATTCTTGCTATCACTATTAGACACATGTTAAAAACCATTACAGCCCTACAAAGTCCTTCAGTATTAGAAACAGAAAGCAAGATATGAAAGCATTAATAAATACTACGAAATCCAAAATAACTCATAATTTAGGTCCAACTGAAACTTGTTGCTAACGAACAGTCTGACCTACCAATTCTAATCCACCCCAAGAAAGTTCTAATGAAGAATCCAAATATTTAAGGTTGTTTTAAAGGAACTGAATAGAAAGAAGATATTTCACATAAACCAGAAATCGCCATTAAAATATATAATCCCTTAAACCTGGAATTCTTAGAACCTGGGATGATACAGAGGGACACCTGTAGTTCATGAATCCATAAGAGTAAATGTTCCTCAAGTCTATTTCCCTTCTCTTGGAGCAGAGAGGTACTGTGATTGTAAAACAAACACAGCAGGCATACTACACTGCACATATTAATGACTAACAGAGATTTAAAAAGCTAGTGAAAAGGAAAGAAGATTCTAACACTTATCCAGTGGAGCTGGAAACCAATATAAGTCATGTTAATTATTGCAGTAAAGCCATGTCAGCTGATTTCATGATGTTCTTCAATTTATAGAGAATTTTGGACTTTGAGCTTCCAAACTTAGAAAGTTAATCTATAGTCTCAATTTTCATTTTCTATTACTTATTAAGACATATAAGGAAATACTGAGGTGGTGCTAACAGGCAAAATGGAGAATGTTTAAAGCATCATAAATGTCTATTTCATATATTTATTGGCTTCCACATTACCATATATCTAAGGCTAATATAAAAATACATTTCCTGTGTATTCTATAACTAAATCTTAAAAGTTAAGCAAACATGCAACTTACTTCATACTGACAGTCTGAAGATGTATACATTTTTAATAATGCTACATGGCTGTCATTTTCTGGTTGAGCAATATGGAGTTTCAGAGAAATTTCTGTGGAAGATGGTACCCTGAAAAGAAAACTTAAATATTAATTCTCAAATACAAACTGCTGTTAAATAACCAACTCTAAGTCAATCCTCGCACAACACAATGAAATAATGGAGAGGAAGACAGATGTCAGAGACGTTATTATAGATGGACACTTTTTCAATTGTATCACAGTTGTTTGAATGCTCCTTCATCTAGGACAGGCGTTGGAGGACAGTCGAGGAAGGGGTTGATGGTCCAAGCAAGTAAAGTTTAAATTCTAGATCATTTAGATAAGAATACTACATTATCTTATAATATTATCTTATGAGCACAATGCTACCTCAAGGATAGTTACATTTTATTAAGAGGCACTTAAATAGTTTCATTAAAATTTCACTTAAATAAACTAAGCAGAATATGTATTACTCAAAATGACCAAAGTTCCATATACTTACTGTGCAATAGTTAAGGAATCTTCGTAAGACCAAGGAATATGAAGTTTATAAATACTAGTTATTTCTTCTGTGGAAACATAAAGGAAATATGTGTTATTAACCTTATGTAACCTTAACCTTAAGTGTTACATAAGCTACTATAATACCTAACTACAGAGTTAACCATTTCATAAAAAATAACCAGTAAGACTTAGATCCCATAAAAAATTACAGAGAATTATTAAATAATAATGTTTAATTAGACTTACAAAAGATATTGCAGCATATGGAAAGTAACAAGAAACTGGTAAAACAGCTAAATCTGAATTACTACTATAATGAGATAGAAAAATATATACAGTATTTTTAAAATGTGGATATTTAAACTGATACAGCTGAAGATACTTAGTGTTAAAAAGGGTCTATGTTAAAACTCTTGGAAATATAGACAGCTTTTCTACTATAATTTAATTTTAATTCACATAAAATAAATAACTATTATAGAAAATTCAAGTGAAGAGCTATTGTTTCTTCAAATGACAATACAATTCTTCTCAGAAAATACACTTACCTTTGACTCCTGAGCACTTGCTTACTACGTTGATTTTAAAAGCCTGGTATATCTAATAAGAGTTCAACCACAAAAAAAAAAAAAACAACAAACAAAAGTTTATTTGTTTGCTTAACTAAACAGTGAAGTAAAATCAAATTCTTGCTATAATCAGGATAATTACCTGTCCGAAGTTTAGAAGTTCTATATTATAAAACAGGCCACTTGTATTTAATATCACTTTCCTTGAAGACAGTCCTGTTGAATTGAAAGTACTGTATTACTTAGAATACTAAACAGTTTTTTAAAAAGTACTGATTGTTTAACAATGTTTAACCTAATGCTAATACATTTTTAATATTAAAAAAGAGTTTATAGGTTTTTGTTTCTGGCATGGAGGAGTGAACTCCTAAAAATCCTATCCTCTTTCAATAAACTCTGGACAATATTTATAATGTATGTATTTTAAAAAGTTAAGTACATATTTTCAATTTCAAACAGGTATGCTTTCTTGGTAGATCTGTCATTTTATAAGTGCTATCTTTAATGAGATGGGTGATTCAGACTTGTCATTTCTGTATTGTTCTGAGTATCCTTTTTTTTTTTTTTAAGATTTTATTTATTTGAGAGAGAGAGAATGAGAGAGAGAGAGCACATGAAAGGGGGGAGGGTCAGAGGGAGAAGCAGGCTTCCCGCAGAGCAGGGAGCCCGATGCAGGACTCAATCCAGGGACTCCAGGATCATGACCGGAGCCAAAGGCAGTCGCTTTACCAAATAAGCCACCCAGGTGCCCCTCTGAGTATCCTTCTTACCCGCTGGCCAAAAAAGGTGGATGAGGGATAAAAATCTAAAAGTTTCCGCTCTCAAGTAATAGATTCTTTTCACAAATGGAATTTAAAAATATATATTTTAAGGATAGGCCATGTCAAAAGGGCAAGGAGCCAATCTAAAATGAGCTCCCAATATCCAAAGCTGGAACAACTTAAGAAAAAAAAATGTAATGATAGTATTAAATTATAATCCAATGAATAAAATAAATACCCATGAGTCATACTGACATAAATAAAAATTGAGTAAGTAAATAAATGGAGAAGGGACAACTTTCCTTTCATAAGAATTCCAATAAATATAGAATACCAGTAATAACTGCCTCAAACTAGAGGAACCAATGGATACTAAAATTAGTGGGTTATTTTGAAGATAAAAGCATACTTAAACATTCTCAAAGTAGCTCCCCTAAGACATTTATTAAATACAAAAAGGAAACAAATAAATTTACAGTGGAGAAACCTGGCAGACACTACCTTAACCAAGTAATCAAGGTTAACATTGCTAGTAATTAGACAAAGTGATATCACGTGTCCAACCATAGGATACAATGAGAAGCACACATAACTCCGGTGATATTCTTGCTAAAAATGTACAACCTTAATCTAATGGTAAGAAAGCATTAGACAAATCCAAGTATTTGATATTCTACAAAATAACTGAAAGTACTTTTCAAAAGATGTCAAAGTTAGGAAAGACAAGGAAAAACTGAGGAACTATCAACGATTAGAGGAGGTGAACAGGACATGACAACTGAATGCAATGTGGGAATCTGGAGAACACTGATGGAAAAATTGATGAAAACCAAATAAAGCCTGTAATTTAGTTAATAGTGTTGTATGAATAATAATTTCTTAGTTTTGACAACTGCATTGTTTGTTAAGGTGAGTGAAGGATATAGAACCCTGTGCTTTCTGTAACTGTTCTGAATGCTCAAAATTACTTCAAAATAAAATTTAAAGGCATATTTAGTTACATGTATTTTACCACAATAAAAAAAATGGGAAAAATATTAGAGAAATCTTGAAACTTCCATAGGGCAGACAGCAATTTATACCTTATAATAAACATTTTATTAAAAGTGCCAACATGTAGTATAAATTCATGGAAGACACACACACACACACACACACACACAATTACTTGCAAATGTATATGACCAGGGAGAAAGTTAAAGTTCACTTCTCAGAAGATGACCTCTGGCCTACTATAACAATCAAACCATTGAACCACATTATATGGTTATCCTAAGAACTATACTTGAAATACAATATTTAATGTTACAGGCTCTCCATTATTGCAACTGACTGGCAAAATAAATAAGCATTCTGTTAAAAATAAAAGCAATTCTTGGGATGTGTGGGTGGCTCAATCGGTTGACAGTATGGCTGTTGATCTCAGCTCAGGTCTTGATTTCGGGGTCCTGAGTTCAAGCCCTGTTCTGGGCTCCATGCTGGGCATGAAGCCTACTTAAAAAAAAAAAAAAAAGGAATTCTTAAGACTTCCAAAATCAAAGTACTTACCAAAAGAAAAAAGATGAGTTACAGGAAGCTGAATGGACCTTGTCTCTTTTTTAAAGAATTCACAATCTACAACAAACTAAAATATAAAACATTGATTTTTAGGAAAAAACAATTACATTTATAGTAAAATATCTTCACTTCATGTTTAAGTGGAAAATAGAAGTCTATAAATAAACTTCAGCTTTGTAGAAGTTATTACCTATCACATTCTCACTCTGGCTATATTTAGATGGCAACAATTACTCAAAGAGAGATCCTAAGCTAAGAAAATTTGATGAACAAGCTTAACTTAATAAATTATTGGAGGACCATTTTTACAACAGCTGATGTATAATCCAGTTTCCTTCCAGTTAGTTTTTAGGTGTTTATAGAAGAGGGACCATAAAGGATGGATCAAAGCATTAAGAATCAAGGTTAACTCAAGATTAATCAAAGATTTAGATAAAAATCTCTCAATATTTCCATAGTCAAAAAGAAATATGATTTTGCTACATTTACTTTTTAAAAATCCCATATTAATTATGTATCTCCCAACACTCTAATTAGACTACAAAAGACTTGGAGATGGACATACTGCTATTCATCTACAGATGGCTAAAGTTATTTGTAAAAGATTATTTCAAGCTAAACAGTGTTTAGAATAAATGGAAAAAAAGGTTTACTATGTATGAAGCAAGAAAAAGAAACGCTATCTCAAAAAAAGTAAAACTAAAATGTGACATCTGCATAATTACAATGTTTTGTAATGACATTTCTTATGTAATAACATTTCTACAATGGCATAAGGAACTTTGCCCTAAGCTGTCTGCAATAAGAATGGTTTCATTAAAATAATCTCCATAAGGAAACCAAATTACTTTGATCTATAGGAGCTGAAGAACAAATTAATCTTATGCCTAATTGTAGCTAGCAAGTAGTTTGCTATCTATAGGAAGGAGAAAGCCAGTGAGGTCTATCCTAGGCTTTTCCAATAAGTACACCTTGGATTGTGCTTGAAGCAAGGTTATTTTGTTTGCCTCTTGGGTGGATTTTTTATTATTTCTGAAAGTCAAAAATAGATGGGGGAAAAGGCTATCTGACTACAGCACACATATTAGGAATAAAAGGAAAAACTTGTTAAGGGGCTTTGCTTTTCTTCCCCTTCTTTACTTATAAGGCCAACAATACCATCAGACATTTTCCTTATAGAAAACAGCTGTTACAAGGTCAGAACAATCATCTACTGAACAAGATTATTCATTATATTTTTACAAAGCACTTTTGGGTGAGACATTGCCTGAGACAGAGAATCAATTTTAAATCACTTTGTACAGGTATTTAAAATAATACAATTTTTATTATTGCTTTGATTTTATTACAGCTATAATAATAAAAATTTATTTTTATTAATGCTTTTTTTAATAAAAATTTTTATTATTGCTTTCCCTTTATGGAATAAACCCATACCCAAGAAAAGAATTCGAGAGTCTCTTTCTAAAGGAATTATTTTGTTTTCTGTCATCAAAAAATGCAAGTAATTCCATATTTGCATTTTCAAAACTCTATTATCAGTTGACTGCAAAAAATTTTCAAGCTGTCTATTTAAATATATGTATCCTGATGATGGGTTATAACAGATATGCAGAAATTATAAAAGGCCTAAATTGACATCCTTGTGAGACTGGGTGTGCAACAGTAGAGTCAGCAAGTGTTACTTTCCAAAGAGCATTAAGACATATTAAATATTCATTAGGTTGCTAAGGCTGGCTATTTGTGAAAGGCTCATTAATTTCTTGGAATAACCAGACAGGGCCTTTCCAAGTTTGGGAAAGATGTTTAAATTCATTCAAAGCCAACTTACCTGACAGAAAAACCCCTAAAGAGAGCTTTTAGAATTGAAGATGCTGAATTACCTCTCACTTGTGCTAAGCAAAACAAAACAATGAATTCATTATAAGGTACTTGTGAGACTCAGTCTTTGAGTTAACTCCCAACTAAATCCCCCTATTCCTTTATCTTTAAAATTTTCCTAATGATTTTGGCCTCAAATCTCAACAATTTTCTCACTAAAGAACTATTTTTTTGAGCGCTTATACGGTAGTGAGTTGTTAAAGGATGAAGATGCAAAGTATAATAAAATCTATCTGGTCTTACTCCCAAAGAATTCACAATACGGTGATGATAATAGAGAGATAAACAAATAAATTATAATTCAGCATCATTCCTCGGAGAAGTTATAAACAAAGTGCCATGGAAGTAAGAAATTATCTGGATGAGTCATGAAAAGTAAAATAGGAACACTTAGGATAGATACTGAAGGATAAGCTTGTTGGGTGAAATGTGGAATGGGAAATAGAGGGTCTTTTACTTCTATCTTCTTGCTTCCCCCTCCCCCAACTTCTCTCAAAAATTATCATCCTTTTATTTCTACTCCCACTTCCCTAGTTCAAGCCCTCATAACCCATTATACAGCAGCTCGTCTCTGTTTCTAATCCATGCACACCATAAATAGATTCATCTTCCAAAATGGCTCTGATCCCATTTCTACTAACAGTGAAAATCTTTCAGCTGCCTACTAACTCCTGAATTCTATGAAGTCCTGAATCTTCCAGTCGAGGTCCTCTAGAGTATGGCCATGAACTACTTTCCCAGACTTTTCTTCCACTACCATCCTACCCATGTGGTCATCTTTTCAAAATTACTATTTACTTATTTACTGTTTCCAAACATATCTCACATTTTCACACTTTCATGCTTGGATCTCATGGTTTCTTTGTCTCAGTAGTGCTGCTCATTATAACTATCTGCAATGATATTACTACTGAGCATCTGGAATGTAGCCAGTATAACTAAGGAACTGAATTTTTAATTTTATTAATTTTAATTGCTTTTAATTTAAATAGCCACATGTGCCAGTAGCTCCTATATTGGACAGCATAGGTCTACAATGTTTCTGATACCCATAAAAACATTAACTATCCTTTAAGGAAATTTTAAACATCACCTCATAATAAAGCCTTTCCCCATTCCATCATTCAGAGATATCTCCCCTTCTTATACCTTTAATTTATTTGCTATATTCTGATTTGTATTATATTTTTGGGTACCTCTTTTATTCTCACTCTTCCTTCTGCTTCCAAATGTTTCTCTCCCCCTACCCAACAGTATGTAGTTTTTTGAGAATAGGATTCATGTCTCCCTCATTTGTGTGCCTCCTATAATTCCTGGCAGAGTCTTGCACATAAAAGGGTACTCAATAATGAATAGATTTTGAAAGACTAATATGTAAAGTACGTTCCCACTTTGAACACAGAGACTTGGATTTACTCTGCTTAGTTCAAGTTAGAGTAGATGATCCTAATGATTTAACAGTCTTATTAGGTGGATCACCAAACTGGTCATTGTTTTAGATAAGCACTATGCCGAAGAATTCATCAAAAAATAACTTAAATATTTAGCATGAGTATCCACTAAACATTCTGATAACAACCTTAATCCATTTGTTACCTTACTTCCATGAATAGATGGTACATAAACAACAAGATGAGACAAAGATGGATAGTCTTGAAGTCTTAACGTCAGAGACTGGGGAAAAAAAAAAAGGACATAAAAAGCTGATTTTATTTCTGAGGGTATACAGAACTTAAAACATGTTAAAGGAAATTATAAACACTTATTTCTTTCTTAATTGGTTATAAAAAACTGATTTCAAACATTATATTCAGTACCTCATAAAACGCCCATGTTTACATTTTCAGGTCAATAATCCTGAAGTCAAATTCCTAATATTTTGTAAATATGGACTGCCAAAAATATTCCTTGAGCTGTATCCCTTCATGTAAAACAAATGACATTTAATATTAAATATAATTATTTTACATAATTATTTCCAGATTCGGTATATTTTATAATTTGTCCATTTGTTTTTTATAACATTACAATAAAATTTCTACATTTATTTTGGTAGCTAGCATATGACAAAGAGCATTCAATAGCTGATGAATGAATGAATGCTAAAAATAATGGAAGAGTTGCAACTTAATCTCAAATGATTCTGATCTAGCCCAAGCAGTAAACAGTCGCTGTCTAATGATATATATGAATATCATCCTCTGGAACTTATTCAGTAAATGACATGAAGACACAAGACTAATAATGCACCTTATCAAATGAAAATCTATTTTCAAAATTAAGACCAGATCCTATAGTCTATATTTTGAGGAATAAATAGATAAGAGACTGGTCTATTTAATGAAAAGCTACAGCACCAAAAACAGTTTTTAAATCCAAGGTTTTTTCTGGAAGTAGATGTGGGGGTGGCAGTAGTTATATGTGGTAACAATTTGTATGTATTAAATTTCTGCAGACAGTTAACTTTCTCTAACGTTCTTCAGAAGCACCTATTGGGCAAGTTGAACAGAGGTGCTAAAGCTAAAGAACTGAGAACAAGTGGCTAACAACCTGACCAGATTCACCTGTGTTTTTTTACAACTTCCTAGGCTTCACCTTGACTTACTTGCCAAAGTCTCAGCAACAGACTAATCTGTTCTAATGTCAATTAAAAGGCCTTAAAAGGGCCTCACAAATCACAGTGACAGGCAACTGAGACCAACCAGATGGTAGACAGTATGAAAGATAATTAGAAAGAACCTTGGTTACTCTGTGTGGCTATCCACTCTACTAGCCTTTGTTACTTATTCTCAAGAATTTTTTTGTAGGATCAGAATACTTTAAAAAGGTAACAGTGTCAAAAAAATTTCCTTATAAAGTTGCTATATAGTTATAATGTCAGTAGGAACTTGACAATACAATCATATTCATGAAATCGTTAGGTTGACAGGTAAGATTAATATGAAGTTTGGAAATTTTTCAGTGTTTTAAGGGTAAAATGCCCTTAATGCTGAAACAACATACACAGAAAATCAAATACCAGGTTTTGATGTGCAGAGCAAAGCTATGGTGCTAAAGTATGATTAAGGCAAAATGGCTACAAGGTAGTTTTCTCATACAAGTTAGTTATCTTTGGAAAGTTACCTTTTTTGTTTTCAACAATAAATCCATTTTGGCTTACCAAATTCTTGGCCTGCTGTGCTTTGGGTTTTTAGAAACTTCTTCATTGTACACATGACAGAAAAATTCCATATGACTGGTATTTAAAAACTGAATTTACAGGTGCTCTGCTGGAGTCTTCTATTTATTAACAGTTCAGTCAGCAGCAATGCTAAAAGTGATATGATTCTCATTTGACATTACTTTTGTTGAGATGATATGAATATAAAATTCATGAAATCTTTTCACTTTAATTTTTTCTTTCTCTTCAACTTGATGGCAAAATAACTTTGTGTCCTTTTTAGAAGTGGCTAACACATCTAATTTTGATTTTCATTAAAATGGAGTTTATTTATGTTTAATAATTATAATCCTCTTCAACTGAGAACACCTAAGATTGCAGAATATTGCAATCCTTATTTTCTAAACATCCTTCTCCCATTTTCCCCCTCTAAATTTCAGTAGGCTTTTAATGCTGTCTGGCAACCTCTTTCAGCATTCACTATAAAAAGAAAGCAGCAGCTGGAATGCCTGGATGGCTCAGTCAGTTGAGTGTCCAACTTTTGGTTTTGGCTCAGGTCATGATCTGAACATCCGACTTTTGGTTTTGGCTCAGGTCATGATTCCAAGGTCATGAGATCGAGCCCCGTATCGGGCTCCCCACTCAGCGGGGACCCTGCTTGAGACTCTCTCTCCTCTGAAATAAATAAATCTTGAAAAGAGAAAAAACGTAAGCAGCTGGAATAGCTTGTTCTGCTGTTCTGCCAGCTGTTTCTCACATTTAGAAGAAACAACACAGGGTCTAGAACTAGATGAATACATTGTTGAATCTTTGAAATTAAAAATATACATAAGGATTTTATTATTTAAGATGTAACTTTTTAAAACAGGAGCAAAGTAACATTCTATCAGGATTTTAATCATTTATTTCTTCCTCTTAAATTACAGATTAAATAGGATATACTATCCAAATTGGAAATTCAAGGAAAGATTTATGAATGATTATCATTAAGTATATCCTAGACTTTTGTTTTGCTCCTGCCTAAAAGGCTAGGATAGAACCAGTGAGAGACATTAAAAATGTTCATATGAGTCTAATCACTTTCCTACAATATTTATCTCTTGAACACAAAGCCATATGAATGAATATACACAAAATAAGGATGACTGGGTGACAGAAAAAATAACTGCAACCATTCCAAAGTCAAGTGTGAAGTAACTTGCAATTATTCATTCTATCATCATTCCCCTCTGTTAGTATAGTACAGAGCTGACTATACAGATAAATAACAAATAACTGGACTGGGAGATGACTGGGACCAACCAGATGGCTTCACTTTCAAGTTTAAGAGGCTAGTATTCATCATGAAAAAATACCTGAAGACTGAAAATTATCACTCCTGGTGTAAGATTATGAGTTATAATAAACACAGTTTAGAAATCAGAACAGGTATTTCATCAAATTTTAGACTGTTTTATTTTCTCAACAATATTAACCTTTTGTAAAAAGACTTGCTGACCCTATCAGAGTTACTTGAGGACATCACAAACAATTATTAAATAAATCCCAAAGAGTACTAGATAAAGTAGAGTTATCCAAGTGCTTGACCACAAAGGAATGTTGAAGTAGATCTGGAAAATTACTTTGTGTCTCTTTGAGATGCTCGCTCTCCCCTACTGTAGGTCCTCTCCCAAAAACTCAAACTACTACTCAGCTTCTATTTTAAGACAGACCATTCCAAACATACCCTCAAAATAAATTTTAAAAATTTATCTAGCTCTTGGTATGATGCTATAATATATAGGTTTAATTTTATTTAGAAGATTGTTAACTTACAGTTTTTATCGCTGCAAGTTAAAAAAAAATTGCGTGTTATTCTCCATTAAAAGAGAAAATATTTCTAAACTGTATGTTAGCAAATCTCAAGTTCATTTAACAGTTAGATGAATTAATAAAAGACCATATTCTAAAATGCCTAGAGACTCAAGAATTTTTTAGTATTTTAAAATTCTAAAGCCATAATTTACCTTAATTGTTGGCAGTAGTTCAGCTTTCCATGATAAATCAATCCCTTGCCGGCTTTGAAATGAATATGAAAATATAATTAAAGGACAAATATATTAAAATATTATAAATTATAAATAAGCTTCAGAGGAAAAAGAAACCAGCTACAGACCTATCAGAGAAAGTTCTAATGAAACAAGGTCCAATAAGTCTAATCCAATATACTCTTATCCATACAGTCCTTTTGGATACAAAAAAATTGTTTTTCCTAGCAACCATTTCTATGTTTGCAAATACTACTGATATGTTATTTTCCTTTATTTTTCATTTAAAAATCAATACTATAATGTAATGTAGCAGCAAAATCAGCTTAAGAATGTATGAAGCGGGGTGCCTGGGTGGCTCAGATGGTTAAGCGTCTGCCTTCGGCTCAGGTCATGATCCCAGGGTCCTGGGATCGAGTCCCACATCGGGCTTTCCGCTCAGCGGGGAG